CAATCTTCGAGCCCCTCGCTGAGTCGGCCGATCCAGCCTCCCCAGGTCTTGACAACCTTAGAGCGGGCCTGCAGCTGCGCACGGTCCTGACGCGGTACCCTCGCATATGCAGCAGCACTCCTAGCAGCACGGTCTGCCATCATATTGCCAAACCTGTGGCGCTCCGTGGCGCGCCCATGCTGGATGTCACTTACGGCCGCATGGCCTTTGACTTTCGAGAGCTCAAACCCGTCCCCCCAGTCATCCACCAACCGCCAAAACTCCCTCCAGAGGTGAGCGTGCGCAGCAACACAGGCAGTGGTGGCCACACGACCACGCTCGTGGAAGCCATCCACAACAAAAGCAGAGTCCGAAAACATACGCACTGGCGGCGCTGCAACGCGCAACTCATGGATGACAGCGATGAGCTCGGCAACATTGGTACACTGCAACGGGTCGAGCACAGGACCAGAGCAAAAAATAAACAACCTGAAGGTAATCGGGATGAAGCGCCACGCACCCCCAGCCCGCACTCGCGAGGCTGGGATGCTCAGCTTCGAATACCGATCCATCAGGGTAAATGTCACCCGTGAAGCTGTCGGGTCCCCCAAGCCCCCAGCACACTGGTCGCCCAGGTGGCGGCCTCGCAATCGCGGGAAAAAGGGGCCAGACAGCGTTCAGCAAAGGCGAGGGCTAGCGGCGAGTGCGCAGCTCGCGCTACGTTGGCACGAAACGCAGGTGCGCCCTCAAAGCTGTCAAGACGCGCACAAGAGCCGTGCCTGTGCAGCAGCGTGCCTTACGCCTGAGGGCAGAGCAGGCAGGCAGGCGTGGTGTCATATCCCTCGGCCCACTGACGCTTCTGGGGCCACTGCCCCCCAACCACAGTGCTACGAAGGTGGCCTCTCTGCTGGGTCGTGAGCTTACTCTTGGTGCTGAGCAGGGCCTTCAGGGGGCTAAAGATGACACCGTTGCCAAACTCGGGAAGGTCCAAGTGGTCAGCAACCTTGGCGAACTGCCAACACTCGACGGCACGGTACACGAGCTCCTGGATGGTGACGGGGCAGAAGTCCGGGGGATTGATGACAGCCCCCATCGGGCCAAGTCCAGGAGGTAGCCGACGTAGCCGTGATCCCTACTCGTTTGAGGGTGGCCCCACAACGCACTGAAAGGGCCCCGAATAGAGGACCACGGGTGCTCAAGATTTGAAAGCCTCTCGTGGGCCTCACGGAGGCCGAAGTCCAGGGCGCCCTTAGGATGCCGGGAGTGCCACAGAGCGTGGGGGAAGGCCTTCACGGGCAACCACGTGGCCCTGAAAATGGGGTCCAGACGGGGCACAGGAGCCAGTATCAAGGCCAGGGTGCGAGATTTGCCATCCATACGATGGTCTTGAAGCCTGCCAGCTGCACCTCTGCGCACCTCCAAATCCTGCCCGTTAATGCCGACCACGGCAGACCCATGCAGCACGGAAGACTCCAGCGCACTTCGAGCCATGCGCCCAAGCACGCGGCGACGAGGTTTAGAGCCCCTGAGGATGGACATGCGCTGCCGCCTCTTGCACATGGCCTTGGCACGGGAGGCGGGCGTGGCCTTGCCCCCTCCAGCGAGCCCAGAGGAGAAATCGACACCGAGGTTTCTCTCAGCTCTCACGGGCAGGGGTTGAAGGCTACGGAGCTTCGAGGCTATCGGGGCTCTAACCACAGGCGGGTTCCCGAGCACTCGGGACTTGTCGACGGCGATCCTAAGGTCGGTGGCCTTGAGCTCACTGTGGAGCTTCTTACCCGCACCGACGATGTCATGCACAACTCTCGACTCCGCACCCCATCTCATGAGGCCGAAGTCGTCGACATTGACCGACAGCTGGACCGTCGGGAAAGACGCCTGGACGGCGTCGAGGGGACCTAGCAGCACCAATTGAAGCATACAAGTGGCAAATGTAAAGCCTGGTACAACAGTCTGCTCAACATCCAGCAACGAACCAACCTCGCCAGCCACGTCGAGCAGCCTCGGAGCACGATAGATCTGCACCAGGAGGTGCAATTGCCACGTAGGAAAACAGGTGGCCTGCGCGGCCGAGATGAGATGTCGGTGCTGCACCAGCTCGAACGCCTTCTTTAAATCCAAAAGCATCGTCGCACACCTACGGTTTTTGAACGTCGAGTGTTCGGACCACGCCGCCTGAATCCACTCGCAACGTTCCGAGGACTCACCGTGGATAGCCCAAGCTGGCCCCCAACATTGGCGGTGATCATGGTCCATTCCTTGGCCAGACCAGCGCCAGGACCTGGGCGGGGACCTGCTGGGCACGTCATCTCCCTCACTGAAGGGAATGAGCCGAAACTTCTTCTGCGCTGCAACATTGATACCTCCAAGAATGTTCTCTGCATGCTTGCGCGGAATCTTATGCTGGGCAAGGAAGGCATTAAACCCTTGCTCAGTGGAAAGCTTCTTGAGGAAACCTGAGAGCACACGAGCTGCTGGCGGCGGACTAGCACTGGCCGCAGCAGCCCCTGACCCATCCCGC